ATTTTTTTAGAATTTTCGTAAAATTTTCAATTTACTCGACTACCTCCTTAAGTTGTATCTGTTATAAGATACTTATATTTTTAGTTTAACGGGTAGAATTGGTTTAGTTTTTACTAAATTTGTAATATGTACTGTGTATTATGCGTTATTATTGTAAATATTCACATGAATATTAAAATATAATGATAAATATTGAAACATTTAAAGACAAAAATAAAAAAAAATAGTATAAAAACAAGATTATTTAATTTCATTTTAAATAAATAAGAGATCAAATGTGATATGCATAGATTAATATAATAAAAATAGATTATATTGTATAAATTAAAAACAATTTTTTTAATGAAATAGAATTTGCATAAATGCAATCTAATAACATTATATAGTTTGCAAATTTTGAGCAATTTTTAGTGCAAAGAAGAAACGACTTTTTTACGTATTTTAAAGTGCTGAATTCAGATCTGTTGTAAAAAGAATCGAATCGAACTTTTAGTAGTATGTTAGCGTAACACTGTTAAAATAGAATTTATGAAAAATTATCATGAAACAGTATTGTCATATTGCACATCTGTCGCTAAATGTTTAATTTTTTCATTCATCTAATTCTTTTTAAATGATTTGAGTACAACAAATGATGAGCATGAGAAGGCGAATACTAGGATTTGATGATAATTGAGAAACATTATCAAAGGGATGCAAACATGTTAGGTGGCTACTGCTGGACCTCAATATGTACAGTGAGTACAAAAAGTATTCGTACAGAGAAAATATTTTTTAAAAAAACTTTATTTTTTATAAAATTAAATATTATCCAGCGAAAAATAAGTTATCGAATTGATGTCGAATCGATATCGATATCGATACGATGATTTCAACACCAATTCGACGTCGATTCGACGTTTAATTGATGATAATTTCTTGCTAGGTAATTAACAATTTATTCATAAAGTATAAAATAGACTGTATGTTTCTTAAAATTGTATATACCAAAAAGATGTGTATTAATTATAGAAAATATATCATTTTTCTTTGATCTTTGTATTTCTGGGAAATCTGAAAAAATATAAATAAAAGATTATTTTTTTCTACAATATATAACTAAATATATATATACAGGGTGGGGAAAAAGTATGGAAGCAAACAATTATTTCCGAAACTATTCATTTTTCGACAAAATGTCTTAGACATAATTTTTATGGTATGAAAAGATGTATTATGTGGCATAGACGGCATGACCTTGAAATGACCCTTACGAGCTGCATACAAATAACGTAAAAAATTTCAAATGGAACTCGTCAGTTTTTGTTACAGATTCGTGTAGCTGATGTCGAAACGTTTACAAAACACTGCATATGAGCCCCATTCCCTTAAAAACACTCCCAGTTAAGAAACAATTGTGATAATTCGTATCGACGAAATTGAAAATAGACAGCGTACGTGTTATTTACATGTAAATGTAATCTTCGCTTCGATCATTTCTGCCGATACGAAAGACACGCGAAGTTCGTAGAATCAGTTAAGGCGTACATCGAACCGTACTCAAGGAAAGAGATTGCGTGATTCATCCAACCAGTTAAGGTAAGATAAGTGCGATTCATCCAACCAGTTAAGGTAAGATAAGTGCGATTCATCCAACCAGCTAAGGTAAGATAAGTGCGATTCATCCAACCAGCTAAGGTAAGATAAGTGCGATTCATCCAACCAGTTAAGGTAAGATAAGTGCGATTCATCCAACCAGCTAAGGTAAGATAAGTGCGATTCATCCAACCAG